CTATTTTTTTTAAAAACATTATATTAAATTATCAACGTTTTTCGCCGTTTTTTACGCTGAAGCTTGAAGCGGGACATAATTTTTTCGCCTACTTTAGGGAAGGGCCCCAAAAGTTGCGACGTCAAGTCCCACTATTAGGTAGGTGTGGTTACGAAGAATCGTTCTTTCCAACAGAAGGGTGATTGAGTGAGTTAAGTAGATGAGTAGATGAATGGCAGAAAAAAAAAAGATGGAAAGAAGAATGAGAGAAGAAGAAAATGAGATGTATCTACTTTCCTTACCTGGTCGATCCACTAGTCTAGTCTTATAAACAAAATGATATGGTGCGGTTTGCAGAGAGATATATTCCGGAACGCCTGGAAATGCCAAATACTAACATCTAGACACTACCTATTCACGGCTATACCAACGGACACACAGCATATACAGAACAAAATCGCCAAGACAAGAGCAGGACGCCAGAAAATGGACAGAGAGAAAGACATGCGGTGTCTGTCTGTTGTGAGATTCAGCCCTCAAGGAGATACCGAGATACGCCAGGCCCCATCTTCCTCTCACGTACCCTGTTGGAGCAGGATTGGAAGGAAGTCTGTCGGTCATCTGACGTTATAGTCCCCTCCTCCGCGAGGGTGCGTCCACGTCCATCACATTAATACTCCCGCACCGGATCCCACCTCTCCGGTTCATCCTTTCCCCCGGGCGTCAGGGCCGACGGTGTCCCCTGCCCCTTGTTTGCAGGCGCATACGGCCTATATCCCGGATAAGCAGTTTCTAGTGGCGGCGGAGTGCGACGTGCGGTCGTACCCGCGTTGTCGAAGTAGCCCTGTTGTACGTCGTGTGCTGGAAGCTCCGATGCGAAAGATGGCTGACGAGGCGGGGAGAAGCGCTGTTGTGGAGGCGGCGAAGGGCGTGTTGACCCGATTCCAAAGTCGAAGCCGGAATTGTTGTTTGGTGCTGGAGCGGCGGTGTTCACTGGTCCACCGCTGGGTCCTCTTGATGGGCCGCGGGGGAGAGGGAATTGGTTGTACACATCATTGGGACTGGGTCCTCGAGAGGGCCCGCGGGGAATGGGATTGTTATTGTAGCCGTCATTGGGCCCTGGACCTCTTGAGGGACCGCGAGGTATTGGGCCGTTATTGTATCCGCCATTCGGATCAGGTCCTCTCGAAGGTCCGCGAGGGGGGGCGTTTTGAGCAAAGGTGTCGGGGCCGTAGGATTGATCGCTGTACTGACGACCAGGAGTCATTGCACGGGACGAGTCGCCCGTGTATTGACGGTTCGGAGGAGAACGACCGTCGGTGGAGTACTGGTCGTTGGCATACTGGCGCAGCGGCGGTTTTCTGGGTCCGTACCCAGCAGCAGCAGCTCCGAAGCCGTTACCGTCAGCATACCCTTCCTGTGGCAGGGTATCGTAGCCACGGCCCTGCGCTTCATACCCTCCAGGCGCACTCTGCCCGTATTGATCCTGCTCGAAGCCTCTTGCTTGCCCATACCCATCATAGCCCCCGGGTGATTTCCCCCCATATCCACCTCGGCCTTGTCCAGCCATTCCTGGGGAAGGTGATGCGTGTCTCACACTGTACGCAGATCGGTTCTGCCCGTAGTTGTCCCCAGCAATGCCCATATATCCATTTTTTCCTGCTCGATTCCCCAGCCCTTCCATAGGGCTTGGGGGTCCACTCGTCCCCGCCACAGCAGCGTCAGCCGCCAGGGACATCTTCTGCCCGGAAGCAGGTTCGAGCAGTTGCAACTCCACCGCGTTCTTCTCATCCTCGACGTGTTTCTTGGCCGCCGTATCCCAGCTCGGCATGGGCGGAAGAGCATCCTCATGCAATTCAACCGTCTTGGGCTCCACATACAGTCCGTTCTTCCCGACTTCAAACTGTGCGTACTGCGTTGGTTCGGGTCTCTTGGAGGCCAGAGGCATTAAGGTACCCGCCGCGTGGCCGGATGCAGGGAAGGGTGCCGTGAGAGGGGGAGGGAGGGCTCCGCCCATCATGGGCGGCGGAGCCTGGTAGCCCCGGTGCGCTGCATGGCCATTGGTAAATGGATCATCTAGGTGCTTGTGAGGTTTTTCCTTCTTGCCGGCACAGCTGTCCCCGCAGCAATCGCAACAGCTCAGGAAAGAGAAACATGCACAGCAACACGACGCGCCGCAGCAGCAAACACGGCCGATACAGGTGAGGACCGAGAGGACGATGAGGGAAGCGATGACGATGCCAGCTATGACGGGCCACCTGAGAGTGTTAGCAAAGCCCGTAATGCAAACTTGTCGTGAGCGGGTAAACTGACTTGCAGTAATCGGCATTCATGCAACTATCCCAGCTGGAGAAGGAGTTCGTCACATCTTGCGTTATGCTTCTCCTCCCCAGCAGGCTGTTGACCATAAACTCCCCAAGCCCCCTCCGCACACTGTTGTGCATAGCCGTGGTGATGTGAGGCATCCTGATGGTGGTATCTCGCGACGGTCGAGGTCAGAGCCGCGCAGGAGCCGCGCAGGGTGCTGATATATTTCCAATGGCCGAACAGTACCAGGTGAAAAAGTATCCCAGATACCGGCAATGATTCCAAACGACCTGCGTAACCTAAAAAATTTCCCCAGTCTACTGCACTGGATCCGCCGCAGCCCTCGAAGGTCGCAGGTCGACGCACAATCGAGACCTCAGTCAATTTTTCGTGGCGGTGTCGCAGTCCCGTGCCAGAGAAAGTTCGCAGATCTCCTCCTGCTACTCCATAACCCGCCAAGCGCTCGAGTCCGATTTCCTTCCCTCGTCGGTCGGCGCGGTCAGGAGTTCTTCCCTTCCTTCTCCTGACGCTTGTGCAAGTTCTCGTCGTTCTCGTGCCTCGTCTGTCCTCTCCGCGTGTCGCAGTGCGAGAGACGATCACGGCCAGGAATGAATAATGGAAAGACAAATAATAACGCCCGTCAACTCGACTCGAACTTGACGTCGCAGAACGGCGGTGGAGACCAGGGCGCTTTATTTGGCGCGCAATCCGGGAGTCTGGCGGTTATGCAATTGCGCTGAAACGAAGGCGATTCGAAGGCTCGGCGGTGGGCTATGCAATCTCTCTCGCCATCAATGGGGACCGGGCCAGGAATAGATCTGGTACGACTGATGCTGATGCTAGCGGTGATGCTGGTGCTGGTGCTGGTGCTGGTGCTGGTGCTGGTGCTGGTGCTGGTGCTGATGCTGGTGCTGAAGCTGAAGTTGATCCTGATCCTGATCCTGATCCTAATGATGGGCGGCTCACCGGTGCGTAAGGAATGAATGGAGCTGGCTGGTATCAGATGCTCGGAAAGAGTGACGATAGTTGGGCTGAGGTGAGCATGAAAGTGAAGGTAAAGGTGAAGGTGAAGGCGAGGGTGGAGGTGGAGGTGGAGGTGGAAGGAAATGCCCAACTTGAAGAGGTGGGAGAAGAGTGTGTGGGGAGTGCTGGGAGTATTCGTGGAAGTGGATCCCACAATCTACTGAGCTGTGAGGAGTGGCTGGAGAGCCAACACCCTTCATTAACTATTGTTACTACTACTATTATTACTATCATCATTACTGTTTTACCTGTTGTTATTATCATCTCTGTTTTTTTTTTTTTTTTTTTTTTTTCTTTTTCTTTTTCTTTTCTTTTTCTTTTTCTTTTCTTTCCTTTTTTTCCATCTTTGTTATTATTATCTCACTTGTTCATATCAGATCAGTTATTATTATGTATATCTATTTTCATTTTGACCATGATTGTTCTGATCAGGACTATTCTGATCATCAAGGTAATTCTCTACGAGGGCCAGAGCAGCGAGCAAAATCAAGTCCATAACCGCAAATAGCCCTCCCGATATAATGCCTTGGGGACAATCCCTCCTTGTCTTTGCCAAATCTTCCCTCGCGGTACGTACATGCATAGCAGATCTTGAGGCCTCCAGATCTTCCCCCAAAGTCTCCACTTCTAAACTTCACTTGCCCATAGCCTATCACTCCTTCGCCGCTGCAGCCTTCTTGAAGCCCTCGGCAATCTTCTGAGACTGCTTGCAAGCATGCTTGTGAGTTGGCCAGGCCTTCACTTGGCACTCTTTGGAGCAAAACCTGTTCACTAAGATGAGTGGCTGGCATCCAGGAATGAGTCCCGGACGGTACTTACCCAAAAATCATACAGCCGGAGCAGAGCTTGACCCCCTCCATCTTGCCGCAAAGGTGGCAGCTAGACAGTCCGCCCGAACAGTGGACAGCACCAGATCTGCTATAGTCCTGGACCAGCTGGGTTGCCTCTCGCTGGCAAGTACCACCCGAACCGCAGAGGGGAGCGATCGTATCAAAAATCTTGGACATGAATCCGGTGTCCGTTGGTGACTTCGGGACCCCCTGACCCGTACTAGCGTTATGGATGAGAACCTTTGCTTTCTTACTGCAGATGGTGCAGAGCCATGGGCGCCGATAGAGGATCTCGAAGTTGTTTCTTCGGACGATGGTCTCCATGAAGGATTTGATCTTCTCTTTATCGGGGATCGCATTGCCGTGTGGAAGGACGAGAGATGCCGGAGCCAGCTCCGCGAAATGGTAAAGCTTGATCTTGCCGCCGGCCTTGAGATTACTCTCGAATACGCCGGCTACGTACTCGATGGGCACCATCGCCTCGGTCGCCGTGGGCTTTAGGCTTTGCTTTGGGGGGGGCATCTTCGACCTGTGCGTGTGTGTATTGCGAGGGTTGAGGGTTGAGGGTTGAGGGTTGAGGGTTGGTGAGGGGAGAAAGTTGAGAGAGGAGGAGGAGGAGGAAGAAGAGGAAGAAGGGGAAGAGGGAAAAAAAGAAAGGAAAGGAAAGGAAAGGAAGAAGGAAAAGAAGGACTTGGTTGGAGCTTCCTGAAATGGACTGACTGCCCTAAGGTAAAAAGATACTAGGAGGGAAGGAGCTGACCATGTACTTGATTAGCTGACCGTACTCAATGGACCAGGGAGCATTGCTCATCTCCATCTCCATATCCAACTTTAACTGTCCGCCGCATGCTCATGGACTGCCGAGAACGGCTGTTAGCTAAATGTGCTCTCTGTACTCCCACCGGTGCATCTTTCTTCGGCTCTCGTAGTCAACTATCTGTCAACGGTGTGCTAGAGTGGCTGCATTCATAGCTTACTATCTGCACTACCAGTTCAGAGCAAGCACTGTGCAGTATCTGCAGCAGACTATCATCCATGGATTCTTCTATCCTCCTCTCCCCCCCAAACTCCAAACTCCAAACTCCAACCTCTAAACTCCAATCTCTAACCTCCCCCGAGCAAGCTTCCTTCACAAGTTCAGCAATGCCGCGGCGGTCATGCTACCAGCCTCCGTTGCAGCCTTCACAGCCTGGACGTGCCGACAATGTTTCTTGTGGAACGGCCAGTGCGTTTTTTGACACTCTTTTGAGCAGTATCTATAGCGGTCAGTCAATGGAAGATGTTGAGCAGAGCAGAGCAGAGCAGAGCAGAGCAGAGCAGTGCAGAGAAGAGAAGAATAGAGCACTTACGCGAAATCCCGACACCCACTGCAAGGCTTGACCGTGTCGCTCTGACCGCAAACCGCGCAGCTCTTCAAGCCGGGCTTCAAGATCTCGATACCCGGCGCGTGTTCCAAGGCCTCACGGAGTTGCTTACTTGCTTGCGTGTGGCACGTTCCGGTTGCGATGCAGACTGGGGCTGCAAAGTCGATGATCGTCGGTTCCTTGCCTCCTATTGCCCAAGCCGTTAGCTCGCTATGGTAGTCGTAGAATATATATATATATATATATATATATATATACACACTTCACCAAGTCCACCATAAAATACTAACCTGGGAGCACCTTCGTCGGGAAACCTTCCTGGCATCCAAGGTACACCAGAGCGCCGGCCTTCTTCTTGCAGATGATGCAGGAGCGCGCGTTGTCGTTCATGATCTGCAGGGAGTGTCTTCCTGCCAGGCGCTTACGGAATTTGGCCCAGGCAACGAAATTCTCCGGGTTCACGGGCTGCGTGTTATCGAAGAGGGAGACGGGTCCTTCTTCGTCCCAGTTGTACTCGGAAGTCATGCCCCCGTCTCGGGGGTCACCGACGGCGACGATATACTTGATTGGGCGCATTGGCTCTGGCATAGTGGTCGCTGAGTCCGACTTTGTAAAGACGAACCGGTAGCTGGATGGATAGATTGATGAATGGATGAAAGGAGGAATGGATTGCTGCTGTTGGTTATCGGGCGAAGACAAAAGAAAGAAAAAGAATGGGGATTCAAGTTGATGAGGAGTTGAAGGACTGTTCTGCTAGCGTATAGCGAGCCAGCCACGTGCAGACAAGGAGGCTGTCCATTCACCAAGAGAGAGAATCGGAAGATTGTTGTTGCCGGCGGTAAGTTGCTTTGGATTGGGAAGGAACGCGGAAAGGGCGGTTCTTGCTCTATTCTTGCTGCACTTTGACTCTTGCTTGATCTTGATCTATGATAATAGTTAAATGATATTTTGAATGCAAGCAAGCAATCTATCTTTTGTACCCGTCGAGTGTTTGAGGGCCGCTTCCATGGCAGCAAACTGCATGGCGGACCGAGTCGGGTTTGCAAACCTTTACAGCCAATCTAGGTAGGCAAGGAGGGAAGTAGGCAATCTACAGTAGTAAGTCTGTTATGATCAATAGTTCCGAGTTTGTCGGATAGGACTGCACGCTCCCAATCCGATCCACGCAAGGCAACGCACACGCAATGGCTCATTGCTCATTTATAATTCCTCCTGCTCATGCTCTTGCTTATGCTCGGATCACGTGACACCCTCCTCCAAATAATAAAGCACCGGCATTTCCGATCCAGCAAGATCTCTTCATCTCGTTTGGCCCGATGCCTCAGCCTGCTTGGCCTGGATGCGTGCGCGTCGACGTTGAAGGTGAAGCTCTGCAGGTCATCTCTTCCCCGCCGCGGACCTCCGCCAGCCACGATGTACCTGATCGGGACTGTTGCGACGGCTGCCCTCGTTGCTTCTGTTCCTGCTCTGTAGATGATGTCCCGTGCCGGCGATGGGGTTATCCCGAGAATATGGGTTGGTGATTGTAAATAGCGCGTGTTGTCAACTAAGCGATGCTATCTGTTGTGGTTCTTGTTGTTGTTGTTGACTTCGACGAGCGTCAATCCGGAGACCAAGGGTCTTCTTATCTTCTCATGCAAAGAACATCCACCACTGTAGGCTACGCCACGGACAGTCCACAGAGTCTCAATTCCAGCTCTGAGGGCTAGGTGCTTGGATCTTCATTCAATCCGACGGCAAATATGCCGATCTCGGAGCTTTTTATGGCCGTCTTCTCCACGTGGCGAGGGCTACTACTGTACAGTACTACTACTAGCTGCGTCGATGGAATGCTTAATAGTGGGGACGGATGGCATGCTTGTTTACACCTATCGAATCTAGAACAGGCTATTATTTACTACTATCAACTCACGGATACTCTCTCTCTTATAGGTATTTATATACGCAGTAAACAATAAATCGCTGATCCTGAGCATCAAATTGCAGACAAGCCCTATCGCTCAAGCCGGCACAGGAGCCGCGATGACAACCGAGCCCGGGCAGCTGGCTAGGATCACTCTCTTACTTAAGATCAGGTTCAGGTTCGCCTTCCGAGGGATTTGAGCGCTCAAGACGGGATTGAAGAAGAGGAGGACATGTTGTTATTGAAGTCTTCATGACAGCCTAGCGAACTGTTCGTTCTGATCATCTACTCTGCATGTGTGCTTTCTCTGGAAAAGGGGTAAGGTAAGTTGAAGACAAGGAGTTACCTCCGGATTCAGGAGTGAAAAAAGGCATTGTCAAATACTACGTAAGTAGAACCAATCTCTCTCAACGCTTGTGGCCTTCACGCTTGGGCGCGAACCCGTAAACCTTTTTTCTTATATACTTTGTTTGTCACGGCAGCCCGGCGCATCACTGAAATGAATTCCTTCGCACGTCCATCTTGGCGACGGAAAGGCAATCTTTTTTCCAAAGGGAATGTCAATGTGAATAGTCAACAGGAGTGGGTCTCATTGGCTAGGAGACCGAGCAGCGCCACAATTCCCCTCTTTATATGCTTTTTTACAAGGTGAAGGCCCCCGGATGAACTGTTTCACGCCGACGAAAAGCCAAGAGACGGACGGCCGTCTCGACCTGCCAACCTCCAATAAAGAGAGGATAAAATCCGCACGTGGAGACAGTTCCTGGAACCATTTCCCGCGTTCTGTCGCCGCCTTTGCCGTTGTGGTTGTTGTCGTTGTTGTCGTCGTCGCTGTCGTCGCTGTCGTCGCTGTCGTCGTTGTTGTTATTGCTTTTTCTTCTGGCGTGTCTACGCGATGTTCACACCGTCGTCCCTACGATGCTTCCGCATCTCCAAGTTCTTATTTCCCGCGGCTTTCATTGTCCTTCTCTTAACTGCTTACCTGTTCAATTTCTCGCCCGGCATTCGACTCTCCGAGTTGAGGCTATCAAGTTCGAAAGATTCGCTAGAGGCGAAGAGCAGGTACATCCAGGAGGCGGCCGAGTGGGAGATCGATGGGCCGTTCAATGACTCGGCGCTGCGGGACCTTTGTAGCAGTAAGGAATGGACGCCCTCGCTCACCTTCCGGTGCGACGACTCGTTCGGGGGCGTGGGAAACCTTAGGAACATGATCTTGACTTGCATTCGATATGCTATCGAGGCCGGAGGTGAGCAGCGACCTTGGTGGAGCTTCTCCAGCTGCTAACTTTCCATGTAGCCACGGGCCTGGTCGTGCCTCAGATCAAGGAACGGGATAAGGATCTCAAAGAGCTCACGGCGGGGAAAACACTTCCCTTCACCTACATGTTTGACGAAGACTTCTTCATCACTTCGCTCTCCACCGCTTGCCCTCAGATGAAGATTATCCGCGTAGAGGATCTCGTGGAGCCGGCAATCAAGGCAGCCATCACTCCCAAAGACCTGGGCACCAAGTTCCGGGTAGTGAGGATCATGGACTTTCCCTCCGAATGGCGTGGACTGTTCGATCAATGGCTGGTTAAGTATGGCCACCCTGGAGCCAGCGTGGGAAGCGTACCCATCCTCGTGACGATCCGGCCTTCCTGGTTTCAATGGCCCATCCTCCACGATGATCCGTTGTTCACGGCTACGTTTGGACGCATTCTCCGCTTCGAGCCTACCTTTCTCAAGCTTGCCGCGACGACTCTCTACGCATTCAACCAGCAGTACGGGCTGGGAATCGAGGCACGGAAGACGGGTGTCCCAGACGCCGGCAAGTTCTACGGAGCTCACTTGCGAACCGCCGTCGATGCTGTTGCTGCTAAATTCGCGTCCTACGATGAGCAGAGCAAGGCATATCTGGCGGAGTCGAAGAAAAAGAACTTCGAGGTCATTTATGTCGCGTCTGGATCCCCGCCTGACATTGAGCGATTCTCAGAAACGGCGGCCACGATGGGAATGAACGTGACGACCAAGTCGAAGATTTTGAGATCAGACCCGGTCTATGCGGACACGTTGAATGCCATAGAGGCCCTCACCTGGGACCAGCAAGCTCTGATCGACTACATGGTGTTATTGAGATCGAGCCATTTTGGAGGAACCTGGGCGAGCAGCTTTTCCTATAACATTGTATTCAAGCGTCATGTGGCAGTTGATAACGGACAGTGGACTCACAGCGACCTGGCATTGAAGACCGGAGTTTCGCGTAGAAGTGATCCCTTGGAGGAGGGCGAGTGCTACCATGACCAAGTCAGTACTATATTTGGGCGCCCGGGACACGGTCTCTGGTTTGAGATGAGCATGTGGCCCTGAACGATCTTGGGAATGTAGAAGTATGATGATAACGACACTGGGTTGATTGATCACTTTCTCTCTGCGGTTTTGGCGACTTGATTCATTTGCCATTGAATGATGCGAAGTGGGATCCGGAGTAATTGGACGAGCTCTTGAGAAAGACGGTTCGGATCGGGGAGCTGGAGACTGAAAGTCTTTACGCTATTCACTTCACCTTTGATATTTCCCTGTTAAGATTTAGAGGCAGGCAAGCAGGAAATGTTAGACGTTTTTTCTTCGATTATAGAACAGATAGGTGCGCCTCCAGGCTGTAATGCACGAACAGCCAAGTTATACCTATGTTATTTCGCTTCGGTTACCCGCGACTTCCTCTATTTGTGTTTGGCAAACTATATGGAAGTAGCAACTCGTACCGTACCTCTACTATCTACAACTATAATTACAATAATCCCTCTTTTCTCCCCGCGCCTAGATAAAGATAACAAGAAAGGCTATCAGCCAGCCCATTTTCCCATCCATCACATATCTTCTTCTCCTCCTCTACCAACCGCCTCCTCTAGTCAACCAAAACACCTAAAACCTGATTTCGTCCTTTCAATCAGGGCTTCCACGACATCAAGTAGTCCACAATGTCTTCAGCCACGGTTCCTATTTGTCACCTAGCTTATGTCAGAAGTAGAGTGGGCATCTCAGTGACCGACAAGAAATTTCGGGCGGTGGTCCAAGAGCAAGCTGCAGCTCTGGGGTTTCAACATGATGTATATTTACTATACGAGCTCATCTGAGGCAGTGGACATCTCGATCTTAGCGCAGAAGCTCGGGACTTCGGTGTACTTCGGCTTCAGGCTGAAGCAGAGGAGTTCGTGAGATATTGGACTCGATTTCTAGGTGGTAGTATACGCCTGACTGTGTCGCAGCACACGTAGATCCGCGCCTGGTCTTAGTTCGCGATGGAATTTCTCTTTCACAGCAAAGTCGTCAAGAAGGCGCATGAAGAATCGAAGATTCCATTCATGGTAGAAAGAAACCACCGGGGAGAGGGGAAAAAGGAAGTTCCGAAGCAAAGCCTTGCCTCCTAGGTTGATTGCTGCCCGCGGAAATGAACAATACGAATGCTTCTATTATGCTCGAGGGCCTTGATCGTAATTACTCTCCGCTTCTGACTGAGAGAGACACGGTTCTTAATCACAGATAGGCCCCGATTGTATCACTCGGTGGTTTCTTTTGTGCCGCTTAAGGATTTAGGCATAAAAATGTCACGGTTATGAGAAGATTATTGTGAGCAGGCAGGAATTTTTGCAAATGATCAGGCTCAGAGCCTCAGTAGGCTTTGGTATTGCACCATATAGCTTTGCTAAGATGGGCCGAAGGGCGGAATTACACATATGTGAGAATAATGCATCCAATGCGTGCTAGCGCGTCTAGTAAGCAAGAGCTGTCGCTAGGTACCTACCTAATTCGAAATGGCTGGTCCGACCCACTTTCGCCAGGCACAAATCTAACGATAGTCAATACCAACCTTTTAACTTGGTCCATACCTACCTCAACCTTCTTATCATTTTTGTTACACCCAGATCCCGGCATTTCATCTATGGTGGTCGCCTGCTTTTATTCCGATGATGGGATATTGGTGTTTGGTGTTTGGTGTTTGTATTCCAGTTATTATATCGTGACCTGATTTTGTATCGGAAGCAAAACTAGTACAAGTGCCGACGTGAGTGCCCGGGCGTATATGTATATTTCGACAGGAAGGCCAAGTGCAATACATCAGCGGATGACCACCAGGTGATAATCAGAACTTTCCGATAAGAAACCGAAATGCTACTTGCAAGCCACTAGTCTCTGGGTCGAGAGCACCCAACCTCCACCAACGGGTCACTCTGAAGGCGGGTGATATGAAAATACCACTGATACAATGAATTCTAGTTCCCCTGCGCTGGAGAACCTCAGGGTTTCTATGCGGAGGAGATGGTCCTCGGGATGCAAGCCTTGAGAATGTTATATGCGATATGATACTTCCACGGCAACATATCAGAGACGGGCCGGCTCGCTGGAGGCATGGCCTAGTGCGGGCAGGCTCGTAGCCAGGTTTGTTGATTAGGAGAGGGAACATCACTTGCTCTTGTTTCCTCGTCGACGATACGCAAGGGATCCCAATATGTAAGTCGAGCGTCAAAGAACGGATATTGATACCGTGAAAGTGTTGTGAGTCCGGGCCGGAAGCAACTGTCTTGACGCGGCACCCAATAATCAAAGTAGACCGAGTTTCTATATAATACCTGGGAGGCTTTCCCGCTCCCGAGACGAGGAGTGAAGGTGGATTCCATGTCGACACTGAGGACATTCTGGGCAGCGTCCTTATATAACTTCAAGCCAATTTTGTGTTCCTTTGAAACTGTCGATTTCGCTCTGAGAATTCAAAAGACGATCTTTCCCGAAGTGAAAGCTGTATCGAAGATGTCGACATGAGGTTTGGAACGACAACAATCCTTCATCTCCCGACCGAGGACGCTACACCGGCCATCGCATTTCGATAAGGGAAAAAGGTCTTGTTCGGTGGTTATGTCCCCGAGACAATTCAACCTCCCGAGATATCAACAACATCGGGATCGCTTCAGCCACGAGCAAGTCAAAATATGCTGCCACTTTGAGTGGGCTCATCAGCCAGTTTGACGATTCGGTAGCCCCCCCCCTAAAAAAAACT